AGGAATCTGGTATCAAAGGTGTCTCACTGGTGAGAGAGAGTAGCTGTGTATAAATAGGCAGCATCATTACATTTCCAAATAATCTCTTTGGAATATGTTGCTTTCCCAAAGGACAGTTCTATTTGTAAACCACTTTGTCTGACCATTGGCCCCAAAACCTGATTAGAGGGAAAGATAATCAACCCCACAACCTTGTAAATTCCGAGTCTCTGACTCTACAACAGGGAAGAATTTAGCCTCTCCTATAGATAGGGTTGAAAGTTCAGTTTTCTAGAGAAGGTACCAGAAGTCAGGGCAGAGCTTCTGCTTCTGCCACAGGCAATTTGCACAGCAATGCATCCTGAAGGCCACGCAGTAACTCAGTGTTCACCGAAAAGACAACCTCTCCACTTAGAATCCCTGTTTTCCCATTAACAGAGAAAGGGTGGTGTGAAATGAGAGTGTAGAGAGGAACCCCAGTTTCTAGAAGAGAGGGAAGGAAGGGCCTGGGGATTGTGCTGTCTTTGGGTGGAGGGAGAAGGAAGGGGCAGGTCTCTGATGGAAGCAGGGCCAGAGGACAGCCCCAACTGGCCGGTTCCAGTCACAGAGCTCAGTCAGCGAGAGGTTCATCATTAACTGTCAAACAGTGGTTTTAATCAGCTCTGCTCCTCAGTGGAAGATAGATTTAATATCAAGGCACATTTTCAGAGCCATTAGTTTAATTATGACAGGTGTCTGCAAACTGGACGACTCTGCTTTCAGACCTGAGTGACAGCATTTAATTCTCTAGGTCTACGGGGACGCTGGGTTACTTTACCAAAATGAGCCTCCATTAAAACTCTAAGTGTTTTCCATTCCCTTCTCCCCCCTTGCCTTCCTCCTCCTCTCTTTTTATCCTACTGTACATGTCAAAAAGAGGAAATGGATAGAAAATTGTGCTTCCGCAGAAGAGAAAATAATTTACTTTGCCTATTAGTCTCACTGGGGCTTCCAGCAGCTGAGATCCTGCTCAGGCAGAAGCCTGTATCATTTAGAACCCACCATGAGCATCGCTGCACCGTGTCCACAGTCATTGCTTGCGGGACACCCAGTGGATGGCAAATATAATGGCACTTATGATGTGGGCAGGAGGACTGACGGAGGTACGGAGAGAGTGTGGGCCAGGTGGGGAGCCGAGGGTAGCCTGCTCTGAGGAAGCCCAGAAGCACCCATGTGTCAGCCTCTAACCTGGCTCTCTGCCCCTCTGGGGACTCCTGGGCTGCCGTTCTGTTAGATTTTCCTATCCTGAGTCCAATCCATCTGTCCTGCTCCCCTCCACCTTGAAGGACCAGGTGGCCAACATGGGCTGGGTGATAATGGAAAGGGCACTAAACCCCCTGAAACTTCTGTCTACATGGGAAATTGTTGAGTTAGGGCCGTGTTTTTCAATTTTTGCTTTGTTTTGTTTTGCATGAACAGAAGGAGGCTTAAAAAATGAAATCTTAGGAAACCCAAATTCATGTGAATCAATCTCTGGCAGAGACCTGGCCCACTCCCAGGGTTCCATCTCTCCCACTTCAGAAGCTTCTGAGACCCAGGGCTTGGGGGCCCTCATGAATCCAGGGCTAAAACTACTGGGCAGATGCTGGTCTCTGAGGACCCTCCCAGTCTTGTGGTGCATGACCTTGGGGGCTGGAACCCTCATCGAAGGGAATCCTTGCCTGAGAAGGAGCTGATTGGGCCAAGAGCAAACATTTGAGAAAGGATGTTCAGGACATGGCGGGGGTTAAGATGCCACAGCAGGGGTCAGAGGGCGCTTTGTGAGTGGCCGAGGATGAGTTTTATTTATCTCTGGTTAGTTTACCTCTATGATCAGATGCGTGCTCAGGCTGCAGAGCGCTCTGTCCTACCTGTCCTCGCATGATGTCTACAGGATTATTTTTGCAGTCCCTTTTCTGCAAAGGTAATTACCTTTGGAGGCACAGGGAGACAGACAGCACCAGCATGGTGACCTGGCCTTGGCCTCCTGTCTGCAGTCAGGGCCAGGGCCAGGAGTTCATCCTGATTCTGGTCCTGCATGGAGCTGTGAGCTGGGCTCCTCCCGCTGGTGCACAGTGACCCCTGCTGCTGCATGGCAGGGCTGAGAGAGAGAGAGAGAGAGAGAACGAGAAAGAGAGAGAGAGAGGCTGAGGGGGGATAGGCAAGTGTGGGGAGGGGGAGAGAGAAGAAGAAAGAAGAGGGAGGGAGAGGAGATAGGAGGGAAGAGAAGCTAGAGGGAGAAAAGGGATGGAGATGGGGGTGAGCACTCCCCAGGGAGCTATATTATGCCCTTTCCGTGGCCACCCCACCCACTGTTGTCCCCATACCCGGTGGAGGTCAGAACCCCTCTTGACCATCCCGAGGTTTTTAAAATGACTCCTTTCAAAGTGGAAATCAATCTCTGGAGACCAAAGGAGGCAAATATGCTTTGAGAAGAGCCTCGTCTGGTTTCTCAGGGCACCCCTTCCAAAGGCTCTTTGTTTGGTGTGGCTGTGAAACCACATCTGGGGCTTCAGAATATGTGGGGTTCTTTGATTTGGCTCCCTTAGGAAAAAGGGGTTTTGTGTGTGGGAGGCAGGAGAGGAAGAATCTTGGGGTGAAGGCTTAGTGAAATCACGTGGGACGAAGCTTCCCTCTCTAACGAAAGGACTGCCAAGTCCTACGCTCTCAGTGGAGAAAAGAGCTGCTTTGTGTCCCTTTGTTTGTTCCTTGGTTTATTCACCCAGTCACAAGATTAATTCTCAAACGTGGTAAGCAGAGGCTGGTTGACCCTTCAAGGAAGGGGGGATCTTCTGCATGTCATCAGATGGGAGGGAGGTGCCTGGGATAGGAGACAGTCTTTACTAGTTTTCCTGTTCCTGCAACCCTCCCTAAGAGGCTGTGATACAGGTAAAACAACACTATAGAGACGAGTGCAAGTGGAGACCACTGCGCCACATGACGTCTCATTCCTCTGTGTTCTACAGGGGGCCCACAGGTGTCTTTTCGTAGGAGCCTGGAGAATACAGTCCTTCATGTCAACCTTTGCAGATAAAGTAGATAAAGTATGAGCTGCATGAGTGAGCGTTGACCTGGTGTTTTGTGAGATTTGTGCCTAGAGTGGGCATTACTGATAGAGTTCCAGAAGCAATCAATGGTAGGGGAGGGTTACTTCATGCCCTTTCTTGTCTGTGAGTCTGTGCTCACTGGGAGATGCCCTCGCCTCCCCTTTCTGCCAAGCTCTGCCCACCGTCAACCTCCCCAGACCCAGTGTGCGTGGACCCCCTCCTCCTTCACCGAGCATTGGTCTACTCCACACTCCTGAGCATTTGTGCTGAGCTCCAATTGTTCTTCATGCTAAGTCCCGTTCCCTCCACTAGATTCTAAGTGCTACAACTACAAAGCCAATGTCTCACCCTCACCGTCACTTTTTGTAGCCCCTACAGCCCCTAGTACAGCTCCTGAGAAAGACTTGAGCACAAAGACACACTTGTTAGATTGAACTGAATCTCTTTAGAACCTTTCCTTCATCAGCGTTATTTACAAATCATTGGCAAACGTTCTTTTGACACCTCATGGCCTGGAAGTTCAATTTAAGATTTTCTAGACTCAGTCTTAAAAAAAAGAGGCGAATGCTACTAGCATGCAATTTGCCGACCGCACCCACATCACTTAAGAATTGAAGGAATATACAGAATTTACATTTCCTTTTCTCCTGATCACATAGAACAGAGGCTTCCAGGTAACTTGAGCAGAGAACTTTCAGTTCCGTAAATCTTCTAGACATTGTGGAATGGGGATCGTGGTTCCAAGGCCTTTGATGAATATTAAAAAACCATCTCTGCATACCTCTCACGTCCTGTGTGAGGAAGATCAAGAAAGAAATTACATTTCTCCCATTCATTGCAGGCCTCCCTTCTAAAAAGGAAACCTTTGCGTGTGTGTTTTTAACTTTAGACCCTATTGAGGGGAGGTGGTAGTGTGTTTTGTAAATGAGACAACAGATAGAACAGAATCCATAAAACAAATTATATGTGTAATATTCAACCCTAGGATATAAAAATTTGGCATTCATAGAGGGTATAAGTTGCCATAGGATAGAAGTTGTAACTCAAGAGCTAACAAACTATGTAGGTTCAAAGTGACCATTTTTGATTTGATAGTAAAAATTTATAGCTTAGAAATTGCAACATTATATCATAAGAATTTCAAGTCACTTTACCTCCTGATTAAAACAGATGCAACAATGCTCTGTAACTGTACACTATTTTTTCTCTCTAACAAAAGAGAGAAAAATAAGCAGGTTTTAAAAAATACACAGAGTAATTAGCTTAGTGACTAATTAGCTGAATTATTGTGACTAGTTTTCCCACTGAAGTAGCAGCAAGTTGCTTGGAAGAAATGCTGAGTATACACTACTCAAAGCATTTCAAGTTCTGAATTTGTACAGACCTAATCAGTGTGAAAACCATACTGTATTATGATTCATGTGAAAATGGTGAAGTATTTACCTAGGTTTTCTTGGCTTGTGTTTTCTAAGTGTTATAGCTGAGAGCTTCATCATGTCTGGGTTGCTGGCACAATCAGGGCAAACATCTCTGGGTTTTTCTCTCTCTCATCTGCAAAAGCTGGGATCACAGCACGGCCTGGAGACCATGGGGGCATGTGTGGTCTATGAGCCCCAAGAGATGATCTGTAGATAAAATGGTTTAGTAGCCAAATAGCTTTGAAAAATACTGTGTTATTTACCTCTTGAATATTTTCAGTGTACACAATTTATTAAAAAGCTGCAGTATTGGAAATCTGTTTTATTTTGTTTAAACCAGCATTTCCCAGTCCTGATTGAACAATAAACTTTTTTTGGACATAATATTCACTAACATAAAATAGCTAATTAACATCTTGACAGCCTTACAATTTTGTGGCTTATGGGTATACATTTGATGCTGTGAGTACTCTCCAAAGCTATACTAACTGCTGCTTCTTCTAATCTGTCATCTGCTCCTCTTCTCTTCAAATCCTAGGTCAGAGGCCTCATCTTCCTAGAAGTTCATTCTTCAGATTGTCAGCAACGTGAGTCTTTCCCTCTCTCCCAGCCCATGGGTAAATTGATGATACCAGTGGATGCTTTACAGGGTCTTGGGCCTGAGAGTCAGGGATCAGGCTTGAGGATTCGGGTAAAAAGATTGTGGAATTTTCTTCCTAAAATCGAATTAATATACTCAAATGATAAAGGTGATGCTTTTGCAAACCAAATGCGAACCATTGATTAATAGCCTGATGTTTTTAAATTGCTTTTAATAATTGAGAATAGTTTGGAATAGTTGGAACAAACAAGGACAGTTGATAGACTCTCTCGGGTTTGGTACTGGTCATGCTCAATGTCTGGTCTGGTTCCATGCTAATGTACCTGTTAATTTTTTTTTTCCCTCCCCAACTTTGATACCCAAGTATTCAGTGTGTTAATATACATACCTGCAACAGGTTCATTTTTTCTGTCTTTTTTTGTGTTGAGGATTTTATATTTTATTTTTTTTATTTTTATATTTATTTATACTTTAAGTTCTAGGTACAGGTGCATAACGGTGCAGGGTTTGTTACATATGGTATCTTGTGCATGTTGCTGTGGCTGCACCCATCAAACCTCGTCAGCACCCGTATCACTCGTATCTACATTTTTCAGGTCACTAACTCCCAATGCATCCCTCCCCCGTCCCCTCCCTGATAGGCCCTGGTGTGCTGATTTTCCGCTTCCGAGTCCAAAGTGGATTTCAATTGATTCAGTTCCCACCTAATGAGTGGAACACGCGGATGTTTGGGTTTTCTGTTCTTGTGATAGTTTTGCTAAGAATGAATTGGTTTCAGTGCATCCGATGTCCCTACAAAAGGGACACAAACTGCCATGCCTTTTTATGGGCTGCATAGTATTCATGTGTATATGTGTACATTCTTAATTCCAGTCGGTCACTGATGGGGCACAATTTGGGTGATTCCAAGTCTTTGCTATGATGAATAAGCTGCAATAAACATAGCTGTGCAATGGTGGTTCTTTATAGCAGCATGATTATATAAATCCTTTGGGTATATACCCAGTACTGGTTCATTTTGAGGGCTCTAGAATACAGTGAGGCATAGAGGGTTAAAATTTCCAAACTGGATTCGGACATTTGCAAAAAGCGAGGATCTTTATTTTGGTAACTGGGGAATTAATTTTCATGAGGCCCCAGTGTAAGGTAAGGCTAAAGATTCTAGGCCAGTGCGGTGGCACGGCCTATGAATTCAGCACTCTTGGAGGGCCAAGGTAGTGCAGCACAATGTCAGAGTTTGGAACTGCCGTGGGTGGAGTTAAATTCTGTCTTACAAAAATGCAAAAATTACCAGGCGGGTGGGCAACCTGTGGAGTCCAGCTACCCGCGTTCCCCAGGGAGGGCTGAGGCAGGAATCGTTTGACCTGGAGGGAAGATGCAGTGGAAGCTGAGATCGCACCACTTGCACCCCCCAGCTGGGTGGACAAGTGAACTACCATTCTTAAAGAAAAAAGGCTAATTCTTTCTG